TGTATATAATTATGTAAATATAGTAGTTATTGTATTATAAAAGTCTTGTAAGTCCTGTAGGTATTGTGTCTTTGTAAGTATTGTAAATGTTATGCAATATCGATAAAATAAAATTTAAAAAAAAAAAAAAAACATTATCGAATGTGGCACAAATATGGATCTTCAAGACAAGAAAGGAAATAAACCTCTGCACGAGGCTCTTATCAATGATCACTTCGCGATTGCTGAAGAATTAGTAGTTCGTGGAGCGTCCCAGTTGCCAAATATTCAACGTTTAACACCACTTCTGTTAGCGAGTAGTAATTGTCAGATTGACATGGTGGAGTGTTATAAACAGGCCAGAATGTACAAAGGAACAGAGAATTGAAGGACTCGAGCTTCTCGGTGCCACTGTTGCTAAGTCACCTGATGTTTATAACATCGAGAAAGCAGCGACATGAAACGTGGAATGGAAGAAAGGTTTGAAGAGAAATCATGTCTTGCTTAAAAAACGTCTTATGTCTTGCTTAAAAAACGAATTGAACGTCTTGAAGTTTATCAGTATAGAAAGGAGAGTCAAACCCTTAAAGAACTTGTTCTGTTAGAAGGTGAGGATCATGCCATCCACATGGACGGTCTTATAATCAGAGAGAGAATCCTTGGGACTGATAATACAGAACTTCGCTTTTTAATCACATACCGTGGTGCAGCTTTTGCCTACTCAGAGAACTACGATTTTTGCATTGGTTTGTGGGAACATGCAATCGAGGCATAGCTTAGCATTCTAACGAGCCAATAACAAAATATTTGCAAAGGATGGCTAGCTTATTTGGCGAAATGGTTCACAAAAACTTGCTTTTGAGATCAGAGTGTATACAAGGAGTGTTTGAAAAACTTGTTACAGAATATGAGAGCCAAACAGAAAGGCTGCTACTCAGAACAACGCAAGAGGTACATAAAGCTGATTTGCTTAAAGAGGAGCTAGAAAAACCGATTTACTGTGCTTTGTATCTATAAATGACATCCACCAAAGTCCAAGTTCTAGAAAGTGGGGACACCACAGGCATTTTTGTGTTAATGCAAAGGTTTCTTTGCTTAAACCCTCGCACTCGCGATGGGAACGCACTTCTACACTTGGCTGCTTGGTATAAAAC